CAGGGGGATAGCTTGAGGCTCCGTCTCAAAAAAAAAAAAAAAGAAAAGAAAAAGAAAAAAAAAAAAGAAATGAAGCATGTTTGCAGAATGTCAGTGTCTAATTGTAAGCCTCTTTAAATGGTAGCAATTATTAGTAGGGATACATTTGCTCTTATACAAGTAAGTGAACAACATAAGCCAGGCTAGTAGTAACTCTCTGGGAAATTTAGGACAAAAGAGAATAGGGCCCAAACAAGGTACAAGTCACAGAGAATAGTTAGCTACTTACTGCTGACAAAAAGCCTTACTAATACCTTGTTGGAAATAGATAGGATATGAGCCTTATACTATTGAGATGCAGGTATCTGCACGTATAGATGTATTTCCTTCCATAGCACGGATTTAGCTCTTCCCAGCGAAAGTTTTTGTTATCTTTATTAAACGCGAGAACCTTGTTACCAAAAATGACAGCAATAAGCATGCCGCAGCCAGGCACTTTTATGAACAGAAATCCACTTAATCCTTCAGTGACCCTATGGGGCAGGTATCAACATCACCCTCGGTTATAGATATAGATATTTCGAGAGATGCCCTGCAGGGCGGACTCAGAGGTGTGGGAACTGTTGTGGTGTCCAGTCAGTCGGGCAAGCATGAGGATACCAGGGCAGGTGTACCTTCTCTTTCACAGTCCCCGAGTTGGGATTCATGTTTCCTTGGCTGGAGAGAAAAGAAACTTGCAGGAGTTGTGAAGATCCGTTAGTTCCTTTGGAGATTCTCGTAAGAGTCCTTGAAAGGGGTGGCGTCCTCCTTTTCCCCTGCCTCTAAAGAAAGGGATTAGGGACCAAGGGAGGTGTGACTCCTCACTCCACGCCCCAACGTTAGGGGAGCTTCGGATCCGAAAATACAAGTGTAACTCTGGGTTAATTAAGCTTCTACAAAGGGGGCGGGGCCTCCTCTGGAGGTAAAGGGGGCGTGCGAAAAGCCCTCCCGCCGCCGATTGGCTGGAACAAATGTCAGTCCCGCCTCCCTCCCGCCCCATCTCCCGGTGGCCTCGCGGCAGGGCCGCTGGCGTCGAGGAGGATGGTGGTGCCAAACTGGCAGGGGGCGTGACCCGAGAAGGCGGCGCGAAGGGCGTGTCGGGGCGGGACCCGGGCTGCGCGCGCGTCACGGCTTGCGGCCCCGCCCCGGAGCCCCTCCTCCTACTCGGCTCCCTTCTCCCGGCTTGGTCCTCTCGCTCGCTCAGTCCTCGCTCCATGTTCCACGCCACGGCCTCGTTCCCCCGCGAAAGCCAGCCAGTGGCCGCAGCGGGCACACGCACGCCCCGCGTCTCCCGCGCACGGCGCCCGGCTCTCCCCACGAGCGCGCACCTCGCGCGCAGACCCGCGTTCGTTCTCCCTCCCTCTCCGGGGTCTCGGCGGTAGCGGCAGCAGCTGGCAGACCGCGCGGGGCAGCACCGTAGCGGCCGCCGCAGGCTGGCCGGCCGGCCATGGAGGCGGATGGGGCCGGCGAGCAGATGAGACCGCTACTCACCAGGGTAACAAGCAGGGTGAGGGCGCCGCGGCGGAGGGGCTCCTGGGCTGGGGGAAGGAGGGTGCGGAGCAAGGCAGACAAAGGCGGGGACACGGCGGGCGTCGCGTCTCAGCCACCTCGACCCGGGCTCGGCTTCCCTCCACCTCCCGGCCGCGGCGCGCCTGCCATCCCCTTTGTGTGGCTGCCTGGGGCGCGGGGGCGAGGGGGCGGGCGGCGGCGCCGGGGAGGCCCGAGTCGGGGCGGCCGGCTGAGCTTCATGGGCATCCTCGGCTTGGCTCGAGCGAGGCTCCGGCATCCCGGCAGGGGCCTCTTTTAACCCCAAGCATCTTCCCTTCCTTTCCGCAGCGCTGGCCTCCCCTGCTTCCCAGCGTTCTCACCAGCCCGGGTCCCGGTTCCACTTGCCTTGGCGCTGTTCAGATTAGCCCCTCGAAAACACATCTTTCTTCTCCTTTTAAGGAGGACCGCGGCTCCACCTGTCTCTAGCCCAGACAGTGGTGAAGAGCTGGTGCGAATCTTTCCCCCTCTTTCCGAGTCTCCCCACTCGGCCCGCGGTGTGCTTTGTTCGGTGAGTTCTCCGGCCGCGTGGACTAGCCGCCTTCCTGTGCGGCCAGGGCTGCTTTTCGCTGTTGCCTGCCAAGTCTGCCTCCTCGTACGGCTTGGACCCGAGTTGTATCCTCCTGCCGCAGGCCAAGTAGAAAGTGAGGGGTGTCTGAAACCCTCTGCTGTTCCTTTCTTCACCATTCTAGCAAAAATCACGTTTCCTGGCTTTGGTTTCAGGGTTGGCGGGGAGTGGGGATGGACATTCAAAAGGCCAGTGTTCTCATTTGTAGTGATGGATGAGTGGCCATGCTCAAGAAACAGACTTCCTGCTTTCGTGTAGAGCACATGTGTCCCCACGGTTGTGACTCTTTTCTCCCTTCCTAGTTTGTGACTCAAAGGAGATGGAAATTATAAATTTTCCTACTTCCAGTTTTTACTCTGTGACGAGCAAGGTTAGGAAAGTTGCATGGAAAATTTTCCAGTCTTTAACAACAGGAAAATTGCTTATCGTGTTTTTATTGAGGAGTTTTCCTTAAAACACCTGTTCCTTCCCCTTTTAAAATTTAAGGTTATTGTTAACTCCCGGGAAAGTAGTCATTATTTCAATGTATTCATCTGAATTTCTCTAAAGAAGTTAAGTCTCAGACAGTAAAGTCATTTAGCAGGTGTCATTGGGAAGATCAGTGGGAAACCTATTGTAAGGAACTTTCTGTAATTCTTTGTGTGGCCTCTGAGCAGTGTTTTATAACATCTACCCTAATAGTGTGTGTTCAATACAGTGTTGTCTGTTCTTAAATTTATTATTTGCAGATTTTCAGTTGAGCAGTAAAAAGCATCTGAATTTCCATAACTGTGATGAGTTCTCAAATTTTGTGTACTTAGCTAGCAGAAGCAGCAAATTATAAGGTCATTGCCCTCCATTCATACACTATAATAACACTGATTTAAAACCCATTCTGTAGTATCCAATAAGACAGTACCAACTCTACTCTAATAGAAGTATTCAGGAGAGGAAGACGGATGGCAAAGGAATTATTTCACACTGCTGTTAATGGCATGGTAGTGGAGCACCTTGGAAGGGTATACTTCCTAAATCTTTGGAAAGATAAATATTAGCTACGATCAATGTATACAAATCAATAATAGAAATCAAATGCCATAAGGTAACATACAGTCTAAGAATAGAATGAGAGAATGGGCACAGTGTTTGCTGTAGAAGACAACATTATGATTTGAAAACTGGAAAGAGGAACTGCTGGCATCAACAAAGTTAAATCTTTGCTCGCTCATTTTTCTCTGGTAAATGCAAGCTATAAAAATGAAAGGTTACTATATTTGTCAGTCGTAACTTTTTTCTGACTCATGGTAGACTACTAACTATAGCCAAAAAAGTAGAATAAAATTAATACTCATAAAATACCATCTTAGGTTTGTGATTATGCAAAAGAGTTTGAATAAATTGGTGGCAGTTTATATTACTCTGAAATTGGAGCCCAGCTGTTTCATAATTTAGGCTCCAAGGTTTCTTCTTTTCCTAAAATTCTGTAGTTTTCACTGATCATGGTGTTGGGATAGAGGAAAGTCATTTATTTTACAAAAATGCAAATTGTGTTTTGCTTTTATATAAAAACTCAGTAATAGGGTGTACCTCACTTGGACGTGATTTGTTGGTCTTATGTTGGTATATGTTAAGTTCTGTTACAAATAGCGCTGTTGAGAAGGTTCCTAAGCTAGTAAGTGATCTTAAAGAAGTAACAATTTTGTTACTACTGGAATTTTGAGACTGTTTAGTGGATTTTGTTATATGATTTCATTCATTTTATGGATATTTGTTATCTCCTAGTTTCCGAGGTGCCAGGCACTGGACATATAAGCAAGTAATAGAGTCCTTCCTTCATTGAGTTTATTTTGGCATGTAGAGAGAACATAGTGATAGCATTTACATTCTTGCTAATTCTGTTTGCCAGTGTCAGTTAAAACATTTCATGAATCTGTTAGAATTTTTTTAAATGATTAGAATAAATGAAAGATACTCACAACTCAATATGAATTTAGTGATGATTATCAAATAGAAGTTTTTCGTATGTATCTGTGATAGCTCTAGAGATATGCCAGACATATTAGGATTTCAGTTACTTTTTTGCCTTTTTTTTTTTTTCTATTGAATAGTAACTGTGTACATTAGTGCACTTCTGGGGTACAGTGTGGGGTTTTCACAAACAATCTGAAACACTTCCATCAAACTGGTTAATATAGCCTTCACGTAATTTTCTCAGTTATTGTGTTAAAACATATTCTACTCATAGAAAGATTCACTTGTACCCTTGTAAGATGAACCACAGAAGTGAACCCTCAAATCCCCCTCCCTCCACCCATTCCCTCTCCCTTCCCCTTCCCCGTATCCTTACTTTTTTGCCTTTTTTTTTTTTTTTGAGACAGGGTCTTGCTCTGTCTCCTGGGCTAGAGTGCCGTGGTATCGCTGTAGTTTACTGTAACCTCAAACTCTGGGACTTAAGCTATCTTCCTGCCTCAACCTCCCAAGTATCTGGGACTACAGGCATGTACCGCTAGGCCCTGTTATTTTTTCTATTTTATTTTTTTGTAGAGATGGTATCTTACTCTTGCTTTGGCTGGTCTCCAATGCTCGACCTCAGGTAGTCCTCCTGCCTTGGTCTTCCAAAGTGCTATAGTTATAGGTGTGAACCACTGCACCCAGGCTTTGCCTTATCCTAGGTATCTTTGGGCCACAATTCATGGAATCATAATGAAGAGAGAGCAAATCTGTCATCTGTCCAAATGAAACTGTAGGACAGTGGAATTATACTGAAGAATTATTTTGTCAGCTCATTGAGACTGGGAAGTACACAGGTTTTCTTCCAAGAGAGATTAAGGTATGAAAATTAGATTATTCTAGACTCTTGGTTGAGTGTAGGTTAAAATCGAAAGCCAAAGTAACCTGATGGTGGAGGAACCTGGTATATTGTTTTGGTATGTGGTGTGCTAACCAATCTATTCTAAAACTTTGGTAGTCATAATTGTCAACATCCTGTAATGGGTTGTTTTTCTTCCTCTTTCCCTCCCCCTTTTTACTGTATCTTACCACAAATACGAAGTTAAAGAGGATAGCATCTGCAACTGACAGTATGGGCTGTTTATATAAAGGTGCATATGGTACTTCATAGGGTTAATGTTGAATGTTAGTCATAGATCACTGTAGCTTCTGACACATACCATAGTTTCCTCTTGTTGGTATAGCTTCTTCTGTAGTTACTACTTTTTATGCATATAGTGTTTTTAGTTTTGCAATAAGTGCGTATCAGTAATAAAGCTATTCTAGCTTACAGTGAAATTTGCCTCTTTTTGTTTAGTTAACACTTTTGCATATTTTGTTGCATTTTACAATTTGGGGAAATTCAAGATTATTTGTACTTAGAATAATTATAAACCACCAAGGCGTCTGTGGTTGACACAGTGTTATGATAGTGTTTGGCAGTACTGTAGTTAACAGCCTTCTTGAGTGCAGAGGGCTAGCCATGACTCTTTTCTTCCATGGGCTAGCCATTTTCAAGTGACTACTATGTGAGAATGGCCTACTGCTTTTTCTTTTCTTTTTTATGCTTCCTTTCAGTACTTGGTTTAGGAAGATAAGGTGGTTATGATACAGACTTATTTGCATTTTATCTGAGGCTAGTATGCCAGTATAGACACGTTCTAGTTTGGCTGTTATAAGCAGATTTTCAGATTTTTTCCAAAAGTATATTCTAAAACATTTTAATTTTTACTAAGCCATAGTTTGGATTTTAATAAGTTTACTTAAGCACTTTAAAAAACCAGTGTTGAAGGCTAAGGTGTAATCCACCTTTCATAATAAAATAGAAAAGATGCCATAATGTTTTAAATGCTCTTTTTTTCTTTTGGAGAGAATGTTATGTGGACTAGCATAGCATAATTTAATTCTTATTCTGTTCACATCTCAAGCGGTGTAGAAAATCATCTTCTCTATCTCTTTGGATTCCAGGACTGTATTGCTGCTTTTCTGTGAGATTGCCCAGTTTGGATAAGCTGTCGAGTGGCTTATTATCTCTGATCAGGAATTTTATAAATGGTTATACCATTGGAAATAGATTTACACTGAGAAGATACCTATAAAACAAATGTATGCATAGTAAACCTTCCACCCATCAAGTTCCATGATAGTCCTGGAGATGTTTCTGTTTAAAAGAGTTTTCTAAGAAATGTATTTCTAGGAAACACATTTTTTAAAATACAATTTAGATTAGAATATTGTATCCTATGGTACTTTGGCCACTGGGTTATTACCTTGACCTAAAAAACATCTTTTTCAAAATCTTAGCAATTTTTAATATTTGCCCTAGTGGGTCAGGGAGGAAGTTGTGTCAGAGAAGTGAGAGAAGAGGGATGTCATAGGGCTCCTATTCCGTGATTACAGCAGGCACCATTTTTTAAAAAAAATTA